GTGAGCATGAGCATGAGCAAAAGAAGAAGAATTAGCACTTCGACAGCATTTTTCATGGAATGATACAAAACTAGGACTGGAAGAAAACTTGGGAGGTCAGCTAGCCCAACCTCCTTACTCAAGAAAGGATCCTCTCTGACTTAATCATCTCAGGCAAATGTTAGTTTAACCTGCTCTTAACAACTTGCAAGCTAAGTGTAACTTTTAAACCTTTTTTTTAAGTCAAGGTAGCATTGCCACTTGAGAGTGCTCATCAGCTCCAATCATTCTGGGCTCCGCTACACCTTCAAATTAAAGCTGGAGAGAAAACAAGTATGGAGTAGTTATATATTTTCCAGCACTAGTTTTATAGCTGATTGGCTCTTTTTAAAGCTGGACAGTCATTTTTATGGTGTGGTAATTATTTGGCACATACGGCTGGTCTAAATTTATTGTGCAATTAACTAGTTAATTGTGTCATTATGTAACATGCCACACAAGCCTGTTACACCTTCATGCTTCTGTAGCCATATGAACATGCTAAATCCCTGTAACCCTAAATGAAATAAAAACTTAAAGGTGATAATATGTGTAACCAACATTACAGAAAACAGGCAGATGTAGCAGTTACATCAGGGGTTGGTAAAACACAGATATGAGACTACAACACATGGAGCTAAGGAAAAAGCATAGGATAATTGAAGAGGAATGAAAGCTGAAAGAAAGCAAGATAAGTCACTAGTTATGCAGGAATAGTTGTTATATAGTAGAGTTGATCTAATATGCTCTTATAAAACAGTATTTTGTCACAAAGTCCTGATTAATTTAAATGGAAATTTTTTTCAGGAAACTCAAAAACTACCTCAAAATTTTCTTTTGGAATGTACTAATGCATTGTTTTCAGAAATTCAAAAAGTTCCATTTCAGTAAGGTTGAATCACTGGAAATTTGTTAATAATTATGGTAAAATGAAGTTATTGTAATATTGAAACAAAATAAATTTGAAATGAAGTCAAAGTAATACTTTAGAAAATTTCATTTTTTTAAGTCTCAGATTCCCCTCCCCTCTTTGTATCCAAATGCAGGATTCAATCACATTCCAAAACTGTGGAATTCCTTATAGTGCATTTTTAACCACCACTAATATATGTACGTATTTCCAAGGGTTGCACGTGGCCAGGAGAAATACCAATCCCTTAATTCATAATCTGTTGTTAACCCCCATCATCTCCCTCCTTTTCTGCTAAATGATGAAACTTGCTCTGTAAGAACTGGGAGAGTTTTCTTTCCCTCCACTTATTTTCTTGAATCTCTCTCCAGTACGTATGTCAGCCATATGGGTGAATACAAAAGAGTATACACACACACACACACACACACACACACACACACACACACACACACACATATATAGCAAGCACATGAAAATAAAATCCCATTTTGATTTAATCCACAATGAGTTATTCATTAGCTTAATAAATTTTTTGGACAAGTCACTTACCTTCAGCATCACATCAGGAAGTCTTAAGAGGTGTAATAAAAGACTTTTGCTGTAGCGCAATGTGTATGCAGGACCCAACACAAAAAGCATTTTGACTTTTTGAGCCAGCTGTGGCATCATTGAAAATGCTATGAAACCTGAGAAATCACCAAAAATTACAGCAATCATACAAAAGTTGAAAGAGATAACAATGATAACGTTCATTCACTTCAATTAAATGATCTTTCCAGAGCTCATTTCATAGATTTTTTTTTAAATAAAATCATGTTTGCTACAAAAAAGTTAGTCAGATGGAATACAAGTTCAGCATTAGAATGAACCAAAGAATAGACAAAAATTACTTTTAAAATTGAGAGAAAGTGTCAAAAACCTTAACTTTTTTCATGGAAAAGTAAAGACTGGTCTAAGTTATCCTGCCTAAGGCTTTCTACTATGTCCAGCTCCATCTGCCAGGACCCACAAAATAAGATACTTTTTTTTTTTTCATACAGTCTTGATACAGACATTCAACAAGCCCAAAGCAGAACTGATCTAGGTCAGGTGGTTTCAACCAGAGGCGCAGTTTAGATCAGTATAAACAGAACACACACATGACCTTTAGTGCAGAAGGTAATCTTAGACTCAGTTCTGCCACTTTTAAACTGATCTGTGTGGCCGAATGCCAACACAGTATCTCCCCAAACTCTGCTATCAGGCTTAACACCAGTCTGTCAATTTGGTTGCCATGGTTACTGCAGTGGGCAGGCAGCTCTCCCCCCAATCTGTTTCAGGTAACCCTGAATTGTAACCCGAACTGGAAACGTTCCTGAGGTAAGGGGATCCTGCTCCTGCTCACGTGAGAAGCTACAGGTAGCCAAGGGGGGAGCTCCACATGTATTGTTTTGGGCACTTACCTCATGGCAAGGAGGCAGGGACCCACACCACTAGGTGAACAGTACTGCTTTTTCAACTGATTGTCTGGCATCAGAAACACCTGCCTGATTGGACATGGAAGGTGAGGTCACTTTCAAGCACCAGGCATCAGCCAATGGGGATGCTTCTGGTGGGAACTTAGTGATGAGGTCACAACAGGGATATATAGGGTCCCTTTTTCCTGGAAGGGGCAGAGCCATCTCAGAAAGCCATTTTTGGCAAAGCCATGCTGGAAAGCAGGGAGAGAGTTTCCATGCTGGAGCCCTGAGGCTCCTGGGGAGAGAGGAAAAGCAGCTGAAGGCTGCACCCTTCTCCCTCTCTCTCTTGAACCTGGACACACAAGAAACTGCCTGCCTTCAGAGGAAAGCAACCAGCCTCTGGATGATACTTGTGAGTAAGCTACCTGAGATCTATCTAGTTATATAGCTTGCAGTACAGCAGATGCATAATCAGTGGCTACCTCTAAGGTTATCCTTTGATATTGCTCTGTCGTGTACCCTACCCCAAACCTACTCCCTGTAATCAATAAAGTTCTCCATCGTTATAAGCATGGTGAACTGGCTGGGAGAGGGAGAGGGGCATGCCTTTGTGTCCCCTTGGACCAGCTGACTAAGGGAGAACACTATTTGCGCTCCCACCCAAGGGAAGCACCCCAAGTTCCTGCAGTGGGTCAAGCACCCTCAAGGTCTACAAGGCCTGTATATCCCAGGAGGCACAGCACTGCTGACAGACCAAGAGTCCTTGGCGGTAGCAGTGGTGACTCAAGGCTAGCAGGTGTGCTCTGGGAAGAAGGTTGGCCAGATGTGAGGCACCCCAGGGAGGCACTCAGAGCCTGGTAGGTGGTCGGGAGCAGTAAGGTGGGTGGCTCAGTACAGGAGTGCCCCCTGCTGGGCTGCCATTGTCTGTATGTACTGTTACCTCTCAGCTCCGTGTTCTTAGGGAACCCTGGCACAGGACACAGCCTGTCTGACTCGCAAAGAATTCCACCCCTCTCCCCTTCTCTACCTGAACAAGAACTGATTACAAAAGACAATGAAGATGCAGTAGGAGACGCACCTAAAGCACTCCAGATAAGGGAACAACTGCCCTAAGTCATATTTGCGTCTGAGATGGAACCAGATGACCATTCATTTACATGGAAGATGGAGAACAGAACGCCTGAAGCAAAGACCACAGTTAATTCTGGGATCAGAAAAGCAGGGGAGCACTGCATGATAGGGAATCTGTGCTCCAGATGCTAATTAACCCACATTTGCACACACCCAGCTCAGCATTTATCAGGCCATTTCTAATCTGGATTTACAAAGGACTCCTCCCCCCACGCACATACCTCTAAGCAGAAGTAAGAGTTTAATAGGCATCTGGGGCCGTACATTCCGGTCCCACTATGGGAGGCCTATTTAAACTGGATTGACTAAAACTCGGTTGCCGGGTTAGAGGATGCTGAGGCAAGAGACTGAGTCAGAGGGGGTATGGGCAAATGGTAAAATTCATCACAGCGTCCAGCCCATTGGAGCCCTTACCACAAGTGTTGTCATACTTTTCCCAGGATGACTGGTGGAAGTCCTTCCCACAAAAGTTTATGAAAAGTCATGCTAAGCTGAGGCTTGTTCAGAACAGGTAAAAATACAAAACCCTGATGCTGCAAGCTATCTATTGTTTCTAAAGAAACAATGAGATATCCCATCCAGTATATCTGCTATCCTTAAGAATTTCAAGCTGGCTTCTAAGTGTCTGGTTACTCCTTAAAAACTTATGTTTTTCCTGGTTTTTAATCAGTTTCTTGAGATGTTCCAAACCAGATAACCCCTTGTCAATAGAAAAGACAATTATTTACACTATTAAAAGAATGCTTTGAAGAAGCTGAATTGAGGGTATAAAAATCTGTAAAAAAAAAAAAAAAAAAAGCAGTAATGTGTGCGTGTGCTTCCTTCAAGATGAGAAATCTCTCTGACACCACTCACTGTTGTTCTTGAGAAGCTGGAAGAAACAGATCGTCTCCCTTCAAGGATTGTGCTAAGAACTTTACCAGTCAGCATTGGAACCCGAGTGCCTTGGACTGGGAGATCCCAGCTCTCGCTCTCTTTTTTTTTTTTTTCTCTCTAGGCATAGGTTTCTGAACCCAAATTGTATTAGTTAAGCTTGAGCTAAGTTTCCCCAAATACATAGTGAAACCAGGGTAGTATTGTAATTGTTTGTGTTAGTTTTCCTTTGCATGTCTATTACTACTAGTGCCATTATATATTTCATATACTTAGCAATAAATAACTTTTATAGTCAAACTGGTAGTAACCGGGTATTTTTCCTTCTCTGCTTCTCCTTCCCCACTTGCTCTGCAGCAACATTTCTTTTACCTAAGCTAAAGATCCCTGTGAAGCCCAAAAATACTGTGGAGTCTGCTTATCAAGAGGCTAAAGATTGGGACGTGCCAAGTTTGAAACGTATAAGGGGATCAGCTTGTACAGGCTGATTGACTCAGTTTGGATCAGACGTGCCCTTATGAACTGAATGCTGGCCCATGAGGGTGTCAGCTGGACACCCAGTTAGATTCAGAGGTATTCTGTTTACCTGTGTGCTTGTGTCTAACTGCGGTTTATTGTTGCTCTGATGAACTGATTCTTGGCATATGAGGGTGTCAGCCTGTTCATGCTGATCAACCCAGCCGGGTCAGGCGTGTCACGTTAATCTGTGTGTGTATGACTGATGTGGTGGCTGGAGGAACCCAACCCCATTGAAACTGAGTCTGCAAGATAGCTTCATTGGGGGTGAGGACTTGCAGAAGGGAGATATACAGCTGCGTATAGAAACACAAGTACACAAGCAGCATGTTGATAGAATTACAGAGACCCTAGAAACATATCCCTAATAAATAAGCACACCCGAAAGTGATGGGCAAATCTGGTAGCAGTACTGAAGTTCTGTTGTCTTATAGATATAGGCCCATTTTGTGTGCTGAATTCCTGCCCAGTTATGGGTACAGACTGGTTTCCAAACACTTATACAGGTAAAAGTGTAATGTCTGTACCTGGCCAAAAGAAGGAAGTTAGTTAGAAAGAAGTTAAAAGGAGCAGTCAAAAATGCAGAAGGACTACAGGCAGCCTCAGCTGTTTAAAAGTATTGTATTAGAAGCTTTGGGAAAGCAAGCATTTCAAATCAGAAAGGATAAAGAACTCTCCAGTAAAAACACTGAATAGCAGGCATTGTTAAAAACATAAAAGACCTACCCAAACTCTGGCAGGTTAAATGTAAATGTGTAATAAGGCAAACCACAAAAAGAGCATCTGTCAAAAGATGCTTAAGTTAATAATATTTTTTTTAAATATATCAGAAGCAAGAAGCCAGCTAGACAATTGGTGGGACCATGAGGTGTCCAAGGAGTAGGAGTCAGGGACATTACAGCCACACGGAACAAATTAATGATCTGCGTCTGTCTTTACGATATCAAGGAAAATTCCTACATGGGGCCAATTCTTTCATCTAGATAGATCTGATGCATTAAATCAAATTGAACTAAGAAGAAAGAATTTTTTTTTAAACTAATATGTTTAACAGTAATAAATTTTGAGCACCAGATAGTATTCACCTGAACTTTCTCACATCTGGAACAATTGTCAATTCTGGCCTCTACATCCCAAGAAGGATACAGTGAAAGTAGAGCATGTACAGAGAAAGGCAACATAGATGATCAGGGGTATGAAGCAGCTTGTGGGGCAGGGAGTGACTATTACACCAATGGACTGAAGAAAAAAATGTTTTTCCTAAAAGTAAAACAGCCATATCTGACTTCAGGGGGAGGTGGGGGAAGGGTGGGGAGGGTAATAAGGAAATCCAAGCCTGAAACCAATAGTCAACAACATTCTGAGTGGAAATTCCAGGAAGAGATCCCTGATTTGACCAAATTCTTGTCATTGAGCAGTCAAAAAGAATGGGAATCCAGATCAAACTACCCTTGCTCTTTGAGGTTACCACACCCTGCGTTCTACACCCATAGGATCATAGAAATTTAGGTTGGAAGGGACCTCAGGAGGTCATCTAGTCCAACCTCCTGCTCAAAGCAGGACTATCCAGAACGACATCATTCCAGCCAGGATCAGCCCTCCCAGTGAGAGTTTTTCCTAATATCCAACCTAAACTTCTCTTGCTGCAACTTGAGACCATTTCTCCTTGTTCTGTCATCTGCTGCCACTGAGAATATTCCAGCTCCAACCTCATTGGAACCACCCTTCAGGTAGTTAAAAGCTGCTACCAAATCCCACCCCCGCAGCATCCTCTTCTGCAGACTAAATAAGACCAGTTCCCTCAGCCTTTCTTCCTAAGTCATGTGCCCCTGCCCACAAACCATTTTCACTGCTCTCTGCTGGACTTTTTCCCACTTGTCCATATCCTTTCTATAATGAGGGGCCCAAAACCAGACACAGAACTCCAGATGTGGCCTCACCAGTGCTGAATCAAGGGGAATACTTACTAAGGCTGTGGGAAGCTTCAGCTGGTGATTTGATTTGGAGGAGATTTAGTGGTCAAATCTCCAAGTCTGAATCAAATCAGGGGACCAATTAAAAGGTTCAAATCGATTCAAAGGTCTTTGGAAAAGATTCAGAGAGCTTCGATGATTTGGACAGTCCCTGGTGGCTGCAGCAGGGAACTGTAGCCAGACTCTGAGCTGGTAAGTAGGGAGTGGGGAGGGGGGCTGGAGGATGGGGAAGGGGACCATGGCGGGGGACCCCTGCCAGCCCCCAGCCCTGCCTGCTCCCACAGCCCCCCCCCCCCCAGCTCCCGGGCCTTTAAATAAAAGCCCCAGGGCTCACCGGGTGGCGCCCTCCCAACACCCTCCCCATGCCCCCAGCCCCGCCCCCCACCCCATGGCTCCCATGCCCACCACAGCTCTGGCCCTTTAAGAAAAAAAAAAAAATGGAGAAAAGCCCTGGGACTCACCACTCCTGCAGCATCCTTGGGGCTTCATGGGCCTCATGCAGAGCCCTCACATGGTGCAGGGCAGCAGGGATCACCCCCATGCTGGCAGGAACAGTGAGTGCAGGGTTTTTCTCTTTTTTTTTTTTTTTCTTAAAGGACCAGAGCTGCAGCGGACAGGGCAGTTGAGGGGCTCATGCAGAGCCCCCCCATACAGTGTGGGGCAGTGGAGGGGAGCAGGGATCACCCTCCACCCCATCTGGTAGCACCCGCAGAATCAGGGCTTCCCCCCCCCCCAAGTGCCAGAAGCTGGGGCAGGGGGGCAGGAGTGATTTGGAGATTCGACAGCAGGTGAATCTTCGAATTCAATTCAGCCGAGAATCATCAAATTGAATCACTGTCCCCTGAATTGTCCAAATCCAAAGCAAATACTAGCTGCTTTGCACAGGCCTAATAATTACTTCCCTATATCTGCTGGCAACACTCTTACTTATGCAGCCCAGAATGCTGTTAGCCTTTTTGGCAACAAAGGCACACTGTTGAGTCATATCTACCTTATTGTCCACTATACCCCACAAGTCTTTTTCTGCAGAGCTGCTGCTTAGCTGCTTGAACCCAAGCCTGTAGTGGTGCATGGGATTCTCCTGTCCTAAGCACAGGACTTTGCACTTGTCCTTGTTGAACCTCATGAGATATTGTTTGGACCAGTCCTCCAATTTATCTAGGTCACTCTGAATTCTAACTCTACCCTTCAGCATATCTACTACTTCCCCCAGCTTGGTGTAATCCATAAACATGCTGAGGGTGCACTCCATTCTATCTAAGATCATTAATGAAGATATTGAACAAAACCAGCCCCAAGACTGACCCCTAGAGCACTTCACTTGATACCAGCTGTCAAATAGACCTCAAGTCATTGACCACTACTCATTGTGCCCAACAATCCAACTAGCTTTCTATCCACCATACAGTCTATTCATCCAACCCATACTTCCTTAGCTTGCTTGCAAGAATCAAAAGATGGTATCAAAAGCTTTGCTAAAGTCAAGGTATATTAAATCCAATGCTTTCCCCGCATCCACAAAGCCAGTTGCCTCATCATAGAAGGCAATCAGGTTGGTCAGGCACGACTTGCCTTTAGTGAATCGATGCCGACTGTTACTGAGCACTTACTTCTCCAAGTGCTTAGAAATAGGTTCCTTGAGGACCTGCTCTATAATTTTTCTGGGGACTGAGTTGAGGCTGACTGGTTTGTAGTTCCCTGGATCTTTCTTCTTCCCATCCTTAAAAATGGGTGGTACATTTGCCCATTTCCAATAGTCTGGGTCCTCCCCCAATAACCATGAGTTTTCAAAGCCAATGGGCAGTGGCTCTGCAATCACATCAGACAACTCCTTCAGCACCCTCAGATGCATTGCATCTGGCCCCATTGACTTGTACACATTCAGCTTTTCTAAATAGTTCCTAACCTGTTTTTTCCACCAGTGAAGGCTATTCACCTTCACCAAACCAGAGTCTTCCTTGAAACATACCTATAACACTGCCCTGAGAATGGCCACCATAAAATATTTTCTCCTGTCCAGTCTTGTGCAGAATAAAGTTAATAATGGCTGGAAGATCATAGATGGCCATTTCATGAAAACTGAAAAACAAAAGGACAAAATTGCATTCAAGTTACAGTTTTGTGCGTCTACACTGAAAACATCCTTAAGAAAATCAAAGGTCTGCCAGATGTTAGTTAATAGGTACAACAGTTAATTCTGCCATCCTGAAGTTTCAGTCTTTGCCCCTGCATGCGGTAGTACAAATGTCTTACTGATTTTTGGACTTGTGATAGTAAATACCATGGCTTTTGGGGTCAGATCAGGTTAAAATTTATTAAAGAGCTTCAAATATCCTAGTAATGGAGAATAATCTGAATTTCAAGCAGATTTAGTCCTTAAAAGCTGAGGACTTAGTTGTGCTAATGTAAGTTATAGCTGAGAGGAACTCTTAGCAATACTCTCCACCTAGTTCTGTAACAAAGCACCAGCTCTACCCTATGTGTCTCCTGTAAGTCTAGAAAGGAAAATAATACAATTATCTATAAGAGAAAAAAAACCAAACAAACAGTCTCCCACTAACCCTGATCTTCCATACTCAAGCCCTCAGGCCTCTCTCTCTCTTTGCCTTTGAATACCTGTACATTTAAAGGTGCATTGCAAAATCAAGTGAAAGCCAGATGAGATACTCACCTTTGCCTACACAATAGTGGGATGGGACTGGGTCTCCCTTGAGCAACCAGAATTTCCTGCTCCCTTGAAATCGAAATCTATTTACCTATCTCCAGCACAACAAGAGAACCAAAGGATGCAATACAGAGGATTTCACAGAGTGAGTCACATCCAGAGCTGCTTCTTCCAAACACAATTTATCCTACTTCTGCCTTGGTTTGTAGTTTCCCATAATATTTAATCAGAACTAATAGTGCATGTTTCTTTCCCTCACTCACTCCTTGTGGGAGACAGGACCTGGTAGCCTAGCACCGCTTTATGAGTCCAGCACAAAGCAAATTCCCCTCAGCCATCATGGACCAACATCTGCTTCCACTAAACCAAAAGATCTGGCTGCTTAGACAATGATCACCGGTTTCCATACAGATGCATGAATAGCATCTCTAGAATGAATCACAAAATTACCATGATCAGTTGTTTCTATACAATTTACTGCATGAAATCTACCTGAAATCCCAAAATGCCTCTTGATCAACAGAAAGGTTCTGGTGCCTTCGAGACCAGCTGTTGCCTCTGCTGTTTCCCAGCCAAACATCATAGCCAGCATCTGCTAGCATGAAGCCCAGGCTGTTATGAGGAAGATTAGCAACCCAATTGCTACCATCTAAAACCAAGCCATGCTGCAACAACACAGCAGGCCTGGGACCTGAAAAAGAAACAAATGATCAGACAAAAATCACACTCCCAACAGTATAATCATAACCTGATTCCTTCCCTTCTGCAAGGGAACATTTTATTTAAATTTTCTGGAGCAGAGTAGTTCTGAACTGAATTAGAATTACAGCAAGTGCTGGCATCACCTTTTCAAGATAATATTTAAAGATGAATATAAATTATGATTGGCTTCCAAGAAGACAGAAATGATTTGACAGAGGAATTGGTGAAAATTCTTGGGAGAGAAATGACTGGACACAATCCATTCCTCCTTTATCAACAGAACTTTGTAGGATCACATTGGGCATTCCTAGTTTTAGTCACATTCAACCAGAAATGTACTCATGTTTAACTTTAGTCTCTACTCATAGGTGAGTCCCTCCAGCCCCATCTCTTATATGTCTCTAAGTGGTAAACATTTTGATCACATACTTGTAAAGCAACCTTAAGGGTCCTTCAGAGCAGTTATTCTATTCCATAAGGTAATGAACTGGCACACCTGAAGCCTAAAACTGTATTTGTTCCCTTTTCTATGGGCACCAAAGCTTACAAGCTCATGTGAAGGCCCCGGGCATCTGTTCAACTCTACACATTACAGATAGTCACCAAGGACCTTCATACATTTTTGCAGAATCAGGGGTCAGTCTGATGACTGACAACAGTACACAGCACTTTCACCTTACTGCCTTCCAACTCTCTCTTGCACTTATTGGCACTGGATTTATGACCCACATAACTCCTTTCAGGCAGACCCAAACCATCACACTGACCACAATTTCTTCCATTCAATTATAGGCAAATATTATTGATACACAGTGATACCAGATAAGAATAATGCAGGTAACACAAACAAAATATACCCCTCACCCCCCCCC